TCTGGTGAACACATGAAATTTATAATTTAGCTCTTCATAGCCCAGTGTCTAAAGCATTTCAAACATACTATAGTTGAATGAATGTATGCTATGTTTCATGTTCATGTCCCTATCAAAAATCTGTAGCACCGTAATACATAAAAATAAGAATATTAGGTCTTACTTTAAGCGAAGTCTACATTTAAATAAATCTCATACTACAGAATAAATACACTTGCTATAAATAACAAATTTTGCAATGTAAAAGACATAAAATTAGAAAATAGATTAATTTGTCTAAATGGATTAATTACAAAAGGATTCTTTACAAAAAGACTTATTGTAAACCCAGGCTTGATGGTAAGAATATGTAATCCCAGGTACTCAGGAGACTGAGGCAGGAGGATCACTTGAGTTCAGGAGATCAGTCTGGTCAACATAGTTAGACCCCTTGTCAAAAAAAGAAAAATTTTTATTGCAGATCTTTATTAAATATACCTCCTTCCACTTGTGACATGAAGTAGAATTAGTAGAATTAAATTAAAATTAACTCTTGTGTGATTTTATTATATTGTCTTATAATTTGAATACTATATTTTTTAAAAAGAATCAATATAATAATTAGAGTGGATACAATAAAGTTACAATATAATTTTGAACAGAAAAGGAAGTTTAATAATATTTGCATTATATAGGTTGGAAAACTGGACTGAGTCCTCAAAACAAACTAAGGATAGCAAAGGATGGGACTCTAGATCCTTCCATCTTACTTCAGGACTTTCCTTTTGCATGAGATAGTACCTCTCAACTGTGGCTGATTATTTTAACCTTAAAACTGGATGTGCTAAATTTTATATTAACATCTGTGCCCTCCTAAGAAATTCAAACCTTTTTTTTTTTAAAAAAAAGCAGATTTGGGGCAGCATATTCATTTTTATAATAGATGATACACTGCCATTCCTGCTTCACTTTTTAGAGCAAAATACAAAAGACACATTACTGCATTTTTTCCCTCCTTGAACATTTAAGCTCTTAAAGACTCATGTTTTCCCTGAGTAAAGTTAGAAGAATTTAGGCTATAACCGGTCCAAAAATATGCCTAAATTCTGAAAAAGAAAAACCAAGTCATACGATGGTAAATATAATATTGGATCAATTCAATTCATTTAAATCCATGTATTCTGGATGCCTCCCAAAACAAGCCTCTTAGTAATTTGTCTTCTTGGAGCTGTTTGTTCTTCATAAAATTTATGGCTGCTTTTTGTTTTCTCTAGATGGATATTTATGTATAATATATATTTCAGTTTCCTTTATTATTTTTCTTGGTTTGCAGCTAAATAGTCCAAACAATAAATTCATTATCAGGGAGGTAATGAAACCTTTATACGTCAGTTATTTCCTCCTCTAGGTTAGTGTCTCATAAATAATTATGTCAGTTTAATATCTACTCACCACCACTCATAATTCCTTAACACATCTGTCATTCTTATGTGCTTATTTGTGCAATTTCAAATGGGTCACAATCCATGGCTAGATCAATAATTATTGTCACAGAAACATCTTTGTTTCCTAATAGTCTGAGATGTTTTCAATATTTTCTCAGAGATAAATTTAAATTATATCAATCTCTATCACTGCCACCAATTTTTAATCTCTCTGATTTACTAATAGGTATGTCAACAGTTATTTTCTGAAGTGCATATTATCCTGTTCCTACTCCAAAGTATTTGGAAATGTCCTTGTTCCCCTTAAAGAATTCCCTGTATTTTGTAGGAGTGAGCACTATAAATTCCCTCATTACCCAAGCACATCAACCCTTGGGGAGAAGGGTGACTTTCAAATCAGACTTAGTTTCCAGGGGCTAATCTGTTCTCCCTGGAGAAAGACCTGGGCTGGAGCAGGCTTGCTGGGCAGCAGAGGGGAAGCCTCAGGGTGCACTCACAGTAGCATCCTAGGCACAACCCTTCAGATCAGGGTAGCACACTGGACAGAACCCTGAACACTGGTGCCTGCTCTTCTCATTATAACATCAACATAGCTTTAGCAAGTCTCTTCAATCATTGGGTCTAAATTTGCTTCTCTGAAAATAAGGGGATTAAACTAAACAATCTCTGGGTTTTATTCAAACCCTTAAAATCCATTACTGGGTGAATACAGCCTAGTATAATTGAAACAAGTTCCAGAATATACTTACACTTCTTAGAAACAACCGATTTGTTTTTATTTGTTTTTCACTAGTGACCCAGTGAACTTTGCAATGAATAGTGATTCCATTTTTGCTTTTGCCATCTGGAAGCTTATTTTTAAATAAACAGCCTTTCCCTACAACTCCATGAAGTTTGTATACCAACCTTTGCCTTGACTTTAACTAATTTACTTTTTTTCTATTTGCCAAGTTTTTTTTTTTTTTTTTTTTGATACTGGGAATTGAACCCAGGGGTGCTTAACCACTGAGAACCCAGCCCTTTTAATATTTTATTTAGAGACAGGGTTCACTGAATTGCTTAGAGCCTCCCTAAGTTGCTAAGACTGGCTCCGAACTCGAGATTCTCCTGCTTCAGCCCCCGAGGTGCTGGGATTATAGGTGTGCGCCACTGTGCCTGGATGTTTGCCAAGTTCTTATTGCTCCGTATCCTATTGTGTTCTTTGTGTCTCTGTAAGGCATTTTGGAAGAAGGCAGGATGAATAACATGTAAAGAAATAAGATGATAAAAAGAGAAAGGAGTTTGGAGTCAGATGTGCAGAGTTCCTTCCACCACTGGCTGGCCAGCAACCCATTGGTTACAAGGGTGAAATCTCCCTTTCCAAGATTGCTGTAAGTACTATGTGAGGTAGCTAAAGTGCCCAGCACAGAGTAGGTAAGCAACAAAAGCTAACTCCTTCTTTCTTCTTTTCCCTGAGTTAGCCCTGAAACAAATTAGCACACCCTTTTTGACCGTTCTAGGTCCTGATTGGCCTGTGATTCACCTTACGTCTCTATTCCTCACGGCAATCACCATCCATATACTCTGGATAGATAGGGTGAGCGCCCCAGCCCTCCCAGCTCCAGGTCTGCTGCTAAGGGTGAAATTATAGGGAGCCTGGGAGTTGAAAGGTATTGATTTCACACAATACTTCCCAGGAGCAAAACACAATTTGGTGTTTAAAATCGGGAACCAGGCTTTGGGGGACCATTTCWGCTTCTGCCTCTGAGCTGGTTACACAACATTTGAAACCCTCACCTCCGTTATAAAACATAGCCAAGTACGTTTGCCGTCTGGGGAACTTACAGGGATGTTTGATGGATTTTCAAATTGCTTTAGAGTCCTCAGATGAAAGGTGCTATAAATTTAAATCACTAATGTGAGAAAACACACTTGGATAAGGCACTCTCTACAACCTCCCTGTAACCTAGTTTCTCTCTGAAGCAGAAGCAAACACCCTTGAGATCACACGAGAAGCTGCTTCTGCGAGGAAAGATCTTAAGCAGCCTCTGAATGAGGATACTATCATAGGCACAATCAATATTTTCATCCATAAATAACCAGTAGTAAGTGCCCACGGAGTACTCTGCAAAAAAAAAAAAAAAGCAAATGGCCACATATTTCCTGAGTCCAGTGGGAAAGATTAATTTCATTTTTAAAGGAGGTTTAAGAGAATATTTATCTGAAATCCTTTACTTTTAAACCTTCAGCATAGAAAAACTATCGCCCTGAGAATCATTTCCAATAAACTTTCATGGTAACATTTTTAATTCTTATGAATAAATCTAGATGGTTCTGTAGGAAAACAACAACAACAACAACAACACCCAGCTCCTATTTTTGTATGCCCCCCCACCCCCCGCCCACCTGTCTTCATTTTGTTCCATGATGAAATAATCTGAAAAGCTAAGGTTAGTGTCCAGTGCTGGGGGAATAAGGACTTTGAGGGTAACATCCTCAGGGGGAGTCTTGCTTCTTTCTCATTAAGTTTGCCATGATATATTTATAACACCTCTTGAAAGAGTTTCCCAGTTTTCAAAACACCAACTAACTAAGGACTTCCTCTTGCCCTGTGTATGTTATACAATGCTAGCAGGAATAGCTAGATAGCAAGATGGAGGTGAACACTTGAGATATAAAAAGAACCACAACTTAAACTAAAGCAACCAAGTCCTATTAACTGTGTGAATAAATAAATAGGGTACACACTGGCTTGTTCATTCCATTATTCATTCATTCAATAAGWAATTTTGACCATCTGCCACGTCCCAGACCCTAAGCAGCTCGAAGATACTTGCTAATTTTTCCCTGAAATAATAAGTAGGAATTTGTGAACAGCTAAGGAAAGCTGCAAGTTGTACCATGGCCCCTTGAGATTGGCAGGTTGGAGTGAGGAGGTAAATGGGACACACACTCTTTGTTGCAGGTTATTATTCTAGGACATTTTAGCCACTAGATGCCCAGGAGAGTATGACACTTTCCGATCATGTCCATGGAGCACCCTTCTGATCTTTCTCTAAGGGATCTTTCTGGTACATTCTTCAGAGTAAAAAAGTCAGTGCTCACCTTCTGAATATGGTTTGTCTACTCTGAAACTCATATTTATGTTTGATTTTCATTATGGTGGTTTTGGGAAGTTGGGTCTTTAAGAGGTGATCACGGGAGTGGATTCATCCCCTTGAGAGCAGGTTGCTATAAAGCAAGTCTGCCCTTTGTGTTCTGTCTCTTCTGCATGTGCTCTTACATGTTTTTGCCATATGACACAGTACAAAGCCCTTACCAAAGCTKCCCCCATGCTTCTGGACTCCTCAGGCTCCAGAACCTTGAGATGAATAAATTTCTTCTGTTACAAATTACCCTGTCTCGGGTATTTGGCTATAGCAACAGCACATGGATGAAGACAGTAAGGGATGGGGAGGATTCTGACAGAGAAGAGAGAAACTAGACTAGTTTAGAGGCTTGTGGGAACTTTATATCTATCACACTCTACAATGCATTTTCCTGTGTCTAAAAAGACATCGTAGCAGAGGTTCATGGGCTAGAAACGTCATCCTTTACCTGTTCTGTAGCCAGTGTTGTTAAGATATACAGCGAAGGTCCGAGGTTCGTGCATGGCCTGCCAGGAGGGCGAAGAGCAGTTCTCATTGTTGGTGTAGACATTATGGTTGTGCACATACTTCCCGGTGAGCAAGGACGACCGGGACGGGCAGCACATAGGCGTGGTCACAAAGGCATTGGTGAAGGTGGCCCCCCCATGCTCCATAATCTTCCTTGTCTTATTCATGACCTGCAGGGACCCTGAAAGGCACAATTCCAGTGTTGTTCAKCGAAGTGCACATGTCACTCAATGTCTCTGTTCCCCTGACTTATCAATTTCCTTCCCTGACTTGAAGGAGTCTATAATTTGATCGCTGCTCATTTCCAAAACAAACGAAACATTTGGGATCCTATCATCTCAAGTAGATTCTGGGATAATAAACACATTTCAGCTTTTCCCCTCTTTAATCACAAAAGGGAAAAAAATGCAAGTTAATCTGATAATTAAAGCTAGAATTTTAGATATGGAGCACATTCAAAGGTCAGCAGCCCTTTGAAGATTAAGAACAAATAACCTATTACACGGAGTATCAAAAACTCCCGCCCGACACACATGAAAATGCTAGCAACATTGCAGAGATTATCACACACAGTACCTCAAACATATGATGAGGGATAAAAATCACTTAGAAAAGTACCCCACCCATAATGCTTATGTCTAATTACAAAAAAAAAAAAAAATCTTCAAAGAAACTTGCTATCCTCTAGCAAGCTAATTAACTGACTGCCAATGTTTCTATCAGGACAGGACCACCAGTTCATATTTTGACCAGTTTACGTGTAATTTGAAAAAAAAAAAAAACATAGCTCATTTGCTTGTGAAAGAAGTAGGATTCTATTATACTCGAAAAAGTACCTGCATGATTGTAAAATATTTCATTTTAACTGTGAGGATGGAATGGTAACATAAGATTGCTAAGGAAGGAAGGGGAAAAAAAAATCTATTTCGATTACCCAGTCAAACCCTGCAGCTGAAACACATCCAAACACTGCAGAAAAGCACTGGCCAGAATTCAATAGGCTTTTCAGGCCTTGTCAAGAAATGCACTGCAGAGCGCTCCAGCCAAGCCCATTGCATTTGAATCCTGGAGCCACAGATTCCCAACAGGTCCCACTCCTTCCAAAGAAAGGGAGAAAGTCTGTTTTCCAGCAAGGAAAGAAATCATAATGCAAACCAGGCAAGCATTCAGAGCAGAAGAGAAGCATGAAGTGGTCCAAAAGGCTACAGTTAGCCTGATTTCTTCATGTATTAACTTTTTCTGTTCACAYGATGCATATGAGAATAGGAAGAAGGTTTCTTTTGGTCACATTAGGACTCTCTGAATATGCTGCAGCAAGGGGAGGACTCCAAACTGCTCTTTTTCTTCTGGTCGTCTTTAGGGAATCGAGTAGCCTTTTTGTAAGTCAAGTCAATAAYACGCAGTGAGCCCCCCACTTTATTCTGGACACTGTAACTTAGTACTCTGGACTGTCCACCCTGTACCACCCAGCCCCAAAGTATAGCATTACCCAAAGAAATGGAAAATTCTCTGCCTCTAGACTTCAGTAGTAAAGTCTCCAGATGAGAACCTACATACAGAAATCGCCCGGGGATGTTTGCAAGGCAACATACATGGAAGAATGTGGATATAGAAGTAGCACTAGAGTAAGGCTAGAGGGTCTTGAATGAATGCTTAATAGAAGCTCTGAAAGGAGAAATGAGGACAAATGGAAGGAAAGAAGAAAGAAAATGTTGAATGGGTGAAGTGATGTGGGGGAGAAGGCACAACAGGTGATGCTCTGGAGGTGGGAAGAAGCAAGTGGAACCAAGTGAATGGCACATTGATTTCCTGGCATGGAAAGGAATATGGAGAATTATCTTGATGAAATGTGGGAAGCAAGAGTTAGCAAGTAGCTTGGATGCTGGGCAGAGACATCCGGATTTGACACAAGAGACGAAGTGAAGGCAAAGTGGGTTCTTTGCTAAAGGCATGAACATGATCCAAAAGTCTTTGAGAGGTGTTGCTGTGGCAGCGATGGCATGTGGGACCAGGAGGCTCCACCAAGGGTACAGACAGCCAAGAGCTTGCTGAAGCCGGCCAGCCCTGAGGAGAGAACTTGGACCACACTGTACCCGTCTGACACAGAGATTCTAAGAAGCAGATCCAAGAGATGTCGTAATGCATCAGAGGCTGTGAGCTGACTAACACCTCCAAGTTTTCAGCCTAGGAAGAAAGCTGGAAAAGTGATTGTTTCACTGGTGGAGAGGAAGTAACTAGAAAGGAATATGCACCATAGAAGTAGTGTGTTTTTCTGTTTGTGTCAGTTGATCATATGGAGGAACACCCTGGAGATATACCAACGAACAGAGATGTGCAAGAGGAAGAGAATAGGAAATGCTACCGAAGGTGTCCATTCACCTCCTTCTTTCCCCTCTTTCTATATCTGCAGGGCTTCTCACTGTAGTGCTTGAATTTTGAGAAAACAGCAAACATTGTTGATGTATTGTCATTGCCTAATAGTCTATTTCAAAAAATGAGCTCTGAGTTTCCTTTAATGCCCTGCTTCTAACCAGTCCACCTGTCAAAGGGAATGATGAAGACATTTGGTTCCCACAGGCACTGTTTACAGTGCAGCTCAGTCGATGGGGTTCTTGGAAGTGGGCATCTGGCTTAATTTCTCAGTTAAGAAAAAAATGCTGAGATAATGCTTGCTCAATTTTTAAAATTCACCTGAAAAGTAGAACCTGAGCCCACCTTGGTTTAGTAAATCGGGGACAGGGTCTGGGAGTTTGCATTTCTAACAAGCTCTCTAGTGGWACATAAGCTGCCTCTTGGTGGACCAGACTTGGAAGAGGAATGACAGGTTGGACAGAGAGTCAGGGAAACCCAGAACTGGCAAATGCTGAGACCACTTCCATAAGATACACCACAGACAGGACTTCATCTAGGCAAGGTTCCCGTCTTTGTGTTTCACATGCATTGATTCACTTAATCCTGACAATGACCTTTGGTGGTGTGGGCTGTTAATGATGGTTCCTATATTCCAGATGGTGAAACTGAGGTGCACAGGGTTGATTCCATGCTTAGGGCCACACAGAGCCTCACCACCAGAGTCCAGATGCAACTGCAAGCAGTCTGCCCCTGAGGCTGCACTCTTAAGCTCCTTCTAGGCTGAATACTGGCCAGGACATTGATGTTTTCAAGATTGAGAAAAAGAAATGATGTCTGTTTGCTGTCAGGAAGGGTCTTACTTTCTGCCGTCTCATCTTTGCTTCATCTGGCTTCTTGGGGGGGGGGATGCCAACAGACACAAATGCCTGTGTCTTGTCTCCTTCAGGGCTTTAATGATCTCAGTACTCAGGCCCAGGTGAAGGAGAGAGGGCTGCAGATGGTCTGTCTTCAGCAGGGCCTTCACATACTGGCATGAATTGCTGCATCTCATCTTGATGCACTCAGGGTGCAGGTAGATGATGGAGCACAGAATCCAGACCGCTTCACTTTGCTGAGGTGGTGTGCTCCAGCAAAGAGAACCCAGGCACCCTTGTCCCTTCTATGGCTGCGCACTGATGAACGCTGGCAACACCCCTGCCTTGCATCTACTGCCACTGTGACTGCACCTCTGCACCTTGGTTTTTTCACTGACAAGCTTTACCCAGGACTATTCTGTAACATAACACATTGTTAGGCATTCATAAATGTTGATAGCAGTAGGAGGAACAGCTTTGTGCTGTAGCTCTGTATTTCCCTGGGTTTCAAGTCTTAAATGCTATTTTTCTTTGCAGTACTGGGGATCAAATTCAGGGCTTCATGCATGCTAGGCAAGCCCTCTACCATTGAGCACTCTCTCTCTCTCTCTCTCTCTCTCTCTCTCTCTCTCTATATATATATATATATATATATATATATATACATATATATGATTTTTTTGGTACTAAGGATTGAACCCAGAGACACTCAACACTGAGCCACATCCCCAGCCCAATTTTGTATTTTATTAGAGGCAGAGTGTCACTGAGTTGCTCAATGCCTGAGGCTGGCTTTGAACTCGAGATTCTCCTGTCTCGGCCTCCAGAACCGCTGAGATTTACAGGTGTGCACCACCTCACCCAGCCATAAAATGCTGTTCTTGATTGAATGCTATCTTGTGCAGAAAGTTGAGATCTATCCCGATGGTGAGCAGATATCTTTTGTGTGTTTCTCTTTCTTGAAAAYATTGGTGTCAAAGCCAGTACTCAGCCTGGATGGAGTTTAACAGTGTGGTTTTAGGGCAGACCTGCATTTGGAGCTGGGTTCTGCTGTTGAAGCTCAGTGGAGTCCCGATCCTAAGTACATGGTTCACCCTGGGCACCTTGTTTTCTTCATTTGGAATACAGGAAGATTCTTTATTATTTGAACAATTATTTCATGGGAACAATATGAAGCATAAGCAAGATTTACAGGGTAGGGCTCAGGAGGAYAAGACTGAGAAGTAAAACAGCCCTGAACTTAACCTTGTGGGGAAATGTCCAGATTTTGCCACAGACTAGCTTGAGCGAGTCATTCAACCTCTTTGGCTTGCATTCATCTGTAAAATGGAGCTGAGACAGCTCTTCTGACTAGTGCCCAGGGTTGYTGAGGAGCAGGTAACTTGATGCTGTTCAGGGACCCCAGGTGAGGTGTGCTGCAGATGTGGTTGTACAATTGCCCTGTCAGATCTGCAGTTTTCCACCGTGGTTTCAACCAACTGCAGGTTGAAAACATTCGGGAAAAAAATTGTACCTGTACTGAACACACACAGGTTTTTTTCTTGTCATGATTCCCTAAACAACACAATACAGTATAGTTACTATTTACATAGCATTTATATGGTATTGGGTATTRTAAGTAACTTAGAGATGATATAAAGTAGACAGAGATACATATATGTGATATGCAAATATTATGCCATTTTATATAAGAAACTGGAGCTCCATGTTTGGTAACTTCTGGGGTCCTGGCACCTACCTCCTGTCCCTACCAAAGGACAACTATAAATTCATTCTGTGCTCATCTCAACTCTACCACAATCAGTTTCCTTCTATTTTTTTTTCCATTCCGTCTTTGAAATCTACAGGTGAATTTCAAAAGCTGCCATAAGAGGAGTTAWGTTTTCTGTTTTGAGATTTAAAATGTTAATGTTGGCTCATAATTAAAAATACCAATTCTTCTCGCTCTTCACACACACTTGCCCCTGAGGCCCCA